TTACCACTATATTTATTATTTATTAATTAAAATGCTATCTCATAATATTCAATTATTGATTACATTTGAAAAAATATGAAGCTATTATGTTATTAGATTTGCTATGTTATATATCACTTGATTATACAATCTATTATGTTATTAAATTTGTCATGTTATATATCATAATAATTTATTATTTTTTAATTAAAATGTTATATACTTATATATTTACTTATTGATGACATTTGAAAAAAAAAATCCAAACATATTATATATATATATATAAGAAAAACAAAAATATCATAATATTTTATTATTGATTACCATTAAAAAAAATTCATCCAAACTAAACCAAACATAATATAAAAAAGAAAAAATATAAATATATATAATAATGTATACCATGTTTTTCGAACATAAACGAACCAATAATCGAACAGATTATTCGCGAATGGATAGATCAGTCGAACGCATTATGTTCGCGAACATATCGAATGAACATCCTATGTTCGAACTCGAATCGAACATATTATCTAACAAACATTGAACTGTTCATGAAGAGTTTGTTATGGAGTCAAATCGAACAGTTATTGAACGAACATCGAGCTGTTCACGAACAGCTCAGTTCGTTTGCAGCCCTAATCGGAACACGATATCGGAGGGAATGATGTGACATGATTGAAACGCTCAATTTTACAGGTTCATATGAATATATGATCCCACTTCATTCATTGATTGGGAGCCATGATATACCGCTGGGTGTCACTCATGGTCTATAAGGAAGATGGATATTAAGAGTTGATATTTACTTTACTGGCAATCGATAAATGAACCTACAAATTTTACACACATTATGGATTTCTAAGCTTGATGGGAATCTGAGATTTTCTCATTAAAGAGTTAATGAGGATATTAAAGTTTCCAGAAATCCTAATTGACTAATTAGTAGAATTGGTTAAAAAGGTATTTTTGTAATTGGATAAATTAATTAAATTGATTAATTAGTTAATTTAAGTCCAAATAAAGAGGTTTTATATATGGGTTTAATAATTAAACTTGGACCTAAATTGGGCTAGCACTCAAATGGGCCTTAGATTTAGTTATTAATTAATCTATCAGAGAATAAATTAAATTGAGATAAGATATTCAAAGGATTGCTTACTATCCAATATTTGGTGGCTATTTAAAGGAGACTTAGGGTTCATTATTTCATAAGAGAAAAATTATAAGAAAACTCTAGCCACTGATATTCTCTGCCATTCTAAGGAAGAAGTTGTTCTTAATTTCATTGTAGTGGGTTAATTCCCATTAGCGAGAGATCCTGTGTGTATCGATCTAAAGGTACCACACTTAGGGTACTTTGTGAGGATTCAACAAGGAGAAAGAAAATAGCAAAGGAGTCAGTAACATTTTCTTACTCTTATTTTGTATTTCATTTTATTAGGGAGGAAGTTTTAAAATCTGGGCAACCGAGCGCTTCCGCTAAACGTTCCTAACCCCAACAGTCCCTCCACCTAATGGGTTAGCCTTTTGGAGATGAAACTCTCTGTCCGTGACATAAGACTATAAGGGGGTTAATGATAATTATACGATGTGATGGTTTGGTTTTGAGCAATCAAAGAAGCTTTTTGTGTGTAAACCACCTAATAAGCATTAACTCTCTTCAGAAATGAGGTGGTTGAACTATACTTTCTATTATAGTTGTTGTGTTATGACTTCACTAAAATCATTAACAAACGGTGAACGTTGGCCAGTTCTTGTTGAATGATGGGTGGTGTGTACAAGGCTCAAGAAACTTTTTATATAGTTGATTAACGATTATTAACAATTATGGCTTCGTGGAGATGAGTTGCGACTTGTAATTTAAACTAAAAGAAGTTATTAGAATTAACTAGAGAGTTATTATCTATCAAAAACCGATGAGGTGTATATGATATGGGGTATTAATGATATTTCTAAAACATTGTAGGCTCATATGATTTTCGCATGCCTAGGGTGAAATGGTAACTTTCTAAAGCCATTTGTTTTTTTTAATAATTCCAAAGAGACCCCATTGTTTAATATATTTAACAACCTTATACTGTGGAGTACAATAACCTTATCCCCTTTTGGTGTATAGTAGAGAATCGCCTAAAATATGAGCTTAATTCTATCTCATTAGCCATCGTATACCCTTGAGTCGTATGGAACATATGCTTTCTGAAACTTAATTTTGTGTTTTTTAATCGAAACATGTGTGGGTCGGCTTGATATTTTCCACAACAATCTTAATGAAAATGTTAAGCACACATATGAAAAATTTCAAAGTATCAACATATCTTAGATGTTCAACAATATTAATGGCATCCCTCATATCATACTGTGACATAATTACAAATATATCCGTTATGGTGCATATTTTGACCGTATGAAACTTTGGGGTTGTTATGATACTACAAGAAATACTGTGAGCTGGTCATTTTCCAAAATTCAAACAGTTAATCCGGAAAATGTTAGGGAAACTCCTACTGCCCAAAAATACTAACGACACCCCTTTGTTTTCCATATTATACATTTATTCCCCTTCTGATTTATGTGCCAAACTAATAAAATCATGTCTTAGATAATTGTTTTATAATCAACCAATCATAAGCATACAAATATTTCAAGAATTAGGAAAAATAACAAAAAATAATGAAAATAAAGAAAATAAAAGGCTCTGTTTGTTTAAGTTTTTAGAATAGTATTATATTCTTAATATAATTTAATCAAATGAGATAGGATTATGAGAATGTGTGTAGCATATTTTAAGAAAATATTTAGGTTATTTTTTAATCCTTAGACACCCCCCCCCCCCCCCCCCCCCCCCCGAATAAAAATTTATAAATTAACAAAAGCACCCTCACCTACCCAACTATTACCGGCTGCTAACCACCATCGTTGAACGATGGTCAGAAGTCTCCAGAATGGCATACGACTGGCTGGATCTGGTCGATTGTGTGTCGATTTAGTCGTTTCCAGCTAGATCCACCATGGATCTAGGAGAAAATGATCAGATCTACAATCATAGATCTGGCCATTTCCAACTAGATCCATGGTGGATCCAACCGAAAATGGCCAGATCCAACTGGTCCTGCACCATTCCAGTGACTTTTGACCACTGTCCGGTGGTGGTGGTCGGCTGTCGGTAATTGTTGGGTGGGTAGGGGTGTTTTTGTTAATTTATAAACTTTTATTAAGAAAAATAGTTGTTAAATATCATGTTATACATCTGCATGTTCAGATTGTGGAGCCAAATTCAATCCAAATTAGAGTTAGACTAGGACGTGGGTTTTCCTAATTTATGTTTAAGTAGAATTGTTTTCTTTTAGAAATACAATTGGAAATAGGATTATAATTGTATTAGGAATTAAAATATAATTCCTATTAGGATATGGGATTTGAGTCCTATTAGGAATTGTGTCCCATATATTATCAATAAAAGGGGGTTTAGAGTTAGATATCACAAATTGAATAGAAGGCAAAACCACAATTAGAGAGCGAGAGCCACCAAATAGGATTTAGTAAGTAAGTCAATTTGTGAGGCTTGTGAGAGATTCTTGTAATTTCTTTTCTTCTTCTTCATAGTGAAATTCTACAACGGTAAAAGGGACGTAGCTCTTATACAGAGAGTGAACCACTATAAACCTTGTGTTTGTGTGTGGTTATTTTGTGTCCTTTGTTCGTACTATTTTTCCCTTTTAGAGATTTGAAATTTGCTAGTATCCAATTCAATCCCCCCATCACTGCAAACAACTTGTCATCCACTCTCCATGAGGCTAATTTGTTTACTAATTTTTGAAGTGCAATCTGATACCATTTGCTAATCATGGTAATAATGCTGGCAATACGAGCTTCTTGCTCATCCCAAGGTCGACATTCCATTGATATTTGATAGTATGTTGAAAGACATAAATTTTTTATAAAGAAGATAGCCTAGATGATTTGGACGAATTGGAAATAATGTGGATAGACACGTATGATCTCAAGTTTAATTCCCCATCTGAGCATCAACGATTTAAATGGAGGGCCGTGACGGTTGGTGGTTGTTGTGCTAATCTCTCCTAAGGATTAGTCGAGGTATGCGTAAATTAGTCCGAACAACTTAGTTAAAAAAAAATAAAAATAATAAAAATAAAGTCTTAAGTGAAATGAATAGGCCGATTCAACAATCACAACTATATGTGATGGAAGCTAACCTAACATCTTATGATTGAATGAACACACATATATGAATTATCTATCCTAATGGCCAAAGAAGGTATATGGATGAAGTGTGAAGAGGGAGAGATTTGGCGTTGTGTTTGTGACAGGACTCATCAGAAAGAGAAATATTCTCTTTATTCTTTCTAAAAGATGGTACTGAATATGTAGAATGACACAAGACGACGACTACTATTCTTGGGCCCTCTAATAGCTGTCAACTCAATTCTTCCTCACAAAAACAAGGCTGCTTTGTTTGCTTTTGAGAGTTTCTGCACATACTTACTCCCCCACCACTCCCCTCAATAATATCTCCCTCTGCCTGCCACACTGTATGCGCATTACAATTTCCTCTGTTTGTACTCATTTTTTCGAGGAATAGTCTTTAGTTTTTTCATAAAACATAATTTGACCATAACCCCAAAGGAATATAATGTCAGTGCTGGTAACATGCCCAAGACATAATACAAACTCCCCATTTTTTAAAATGGGGTTCTGATCAGTTCCACTTATACCCAATAAACATTCTGCCAATCCACTCTTGTAATTTAATGTTTAACAATGGTTTTTGGTCATGTAACTACAGGTTTAATCATTCACTCATGAGTTGAGTACTTATGATAAATGATGGGTTGCTCTTGCATGGTATATATATATATATATATATATATATTTCTCCCAATGAAACTAGGTCAAGGACAAGGTAGTAATTTTGTACCCAACAGACATTTGAAAATGTCTGTTGCAGTTGAGAAAAGTAAGGGTGGGAAAAAGATGAGGAGGCCCCATGAAGCTCACAAGGCCTTCTCATAATTCATCAAGAGGTTCCCTTCCTGAATACAAAATGGTGGTGATGCCTTTTTTTTTCTTTTCCCATTCAGTGTGTGTGTGTGTGTGCTTTGCTCAACGGCCCACAACTTGAACAGATCATGATACTTATCCCTCGAAAGATGAAAAACAAGAATGATTGATCTCATACACCATAATTTTTAACAGCCTTCTCAGTGTTTTGTGGTTTCAGTTTTGCCAAAAAAAAAAAAAAAATCTTTGATGGTACTTTCCCACCACCCTTCTTGGTACTTGTTACAATAAACAATGGTTGATCTGAAATCAAGGAAATTCTTTCTCAATTTCATAAAAGAACAAAACATTATTGTACCAGTTCTTCTTGTTTGAATCACTGGATCACTAGATTTCAGGAGATGGGTAAGACACTGGATTGCATTATCTTAACAATCCTTTTTTTCTTTTTCTTTTTTAGATATGAAAAATGCATTAAATGGTACTGATATTGATATCTTAGTCTCTTCTTAGATTTGTAATCCTGCCCTTTTCTTTTCAACAATTATACTGTTTGCTCAATAAAGTTAATTTAATTTAGGTTGGTGATTAGTTTACTTCATATCTAATCAACCATATGGATCCTTAAATGCTTACATGCACATGTATTGGAATTATTGGAAAGCACCTTACTATCATAGCCACAGAAGTACTGCACAAAATAGAATCTTCTCAGGCCATTGAAATTTTCTGAAGTGTTATGCCAAGTGATGGTTCTACAATGGCAAAGAAGAAGAGCTGGTTCAGTCGGTTGAAAAGATTCTTTATTTCGGACACAGGTTCAAAATCTGACAAGGTGTGTACTTTCTTTAGAATCTCTTAATGCTTAATAGATTTTATAACTTAGTGCTATAAGCAATAACAGGAGAAGAGGAAAAGGACATGGATATTTGGAAGGCTAAAGATCAAAAGGTTGCCTTCCATCGCGGCGGCGCCATCAGCAGCATCACAAGTCAGAACACTAAGTGAAGCAGAGGAAGAGCATAGCAAGCAAGCTCTAAATGTAGCCATTGCCACAGCTGCTGCTGCGGAAGCAGCTGTGGCTGCTGCTGAGGCTGCAGCTGGGCTTGTAAGGCTTACTGGAACCTCTCAATCAATTCATCAATGTGAAAGAGAAAAAAGAGAAGACTCCCCAATTGAAATTAAAATTGATGCTCCTCAGTCTACTAATCAATATGAGAGGGAGATCCAGGAACTTGCTGCCATTAAAATTCAAACCGCATTTCGGGGTTGCCTTGTAAGTTCTCTTGAACCTTTTTTTTTTATGTTAAAGATGGAAATTCACTCTATTTTTCAAATATTTGATGAATGATTTGCTGATGTATTGTTTGAGAAGTTGTAAAAAAAAAAAAATGTAGAAACATTGATTTTATTCATCAAATCTTTTGAATCAGTTTCTTGAGTTGCTTATAGATTACACAATTCGGATCATTTATAAGAGAGAATTTTGCAGGCAAGGAAAGCTTTGAGGGCATTGAAGGGTATAGTGAAGCTTCAAGCTATTATTAGAGGTCGAAATGTGAGACGCCAAGCTATCACTACTCTCAAGTGCTTGCAGTCCATTGTAAATATCCAGTCACAGGTCTGTGCAAGGAGATATGGAATGACAGGTGCTTGGCATTGTGATCAAACTAAACAGTTGCAGACTTTGAAGGACAAGATAATCATGGTTGGTTTGCAAACAATCAGTTAGTTGTGATGCAAAGAACTCAAGTAAAAATATCATTATACACTGGTTCAAATCATCATTCCTTTTTTATCTTGTCCATATTACATGTCATTTTGAAATAGTATTCTTACATTTATGCCAGTGTAGCTTCAATAATTTTACCATAAATATGGATTTGCAGACCCTTGAAAGGTACTAGAGCAGTCACAGCTAGATGGTATTAGTTGCTGGCGTTCTTCAATCTTAGGACTAATTTCTCTATTTCTTTCAATTCGTTATACGTCTAATCGAGTTGGCGTTTTTTTTTTTTTTTTTTTAATTTCAGATGGACTCAAACAGTCGAAGAAGATGGGATGACAGCACTTTGACAAAGGAAGAGGCAGACGCGTTGTTCCAAAGCAAGAAGGAAGCTTTTATCAAGAGGGAACGGGCGAAGGAATACGCGTTCAGCCATAGGGTAAAAATTTAAGCTTTTAAGTCAAGTAGTTCACTTTTCGGCTTTTTCTTTACATATTGAATTATAATATCAAGCATGGAAATCTTCTGTAGAAATCAGCAGAGTCAGAACAGGACAAGGGTCATGGAAGATGGAGATTGTGGCTAGAGCAATGGGTAGAGACACAAGTAATGAAGAGTAAAGAGCTTGAAGATTTGGACACAGTGTGGACTTCAGATAGAAAGCCAAAAGAAGAAAACAGAGGAAAAGGGCTGAGACTGAAGAATCTCCAGAGACAATATCAGGTTGAAGGATTGGATTCACCATCGTTAGTTCCGCGAATGCATCGAAGGCAGTGTTCACTGGGAGAAGAAAACTCATTCTCTAGCTCTCCTGTAGTTCCAACTTACATGGCAGCAACAGAATCCGCCAAGGCAAAAGCAAGATCAATGAGCTCACCAAAGCTGAGGACTAGCAGTTTTGATACTTGTTCCGAAAGCTATTCACCATGTAAGAATAAATTGTCCCTAGTATCTCCAGTCAGAAGTGAAGTTTCAAGTTGTGGTAGGATAGGCATAGGCAGGCCTAGTGCTTATCAGCAGAGATCTCCAAGCTTGAAGGGTGTTCAAGGTCCTGTGAAATCATATTCAATCAAGGCAGCGAAGGACCTCAGCTTTAATTCAGAATGCTCAATACTGAACTGGGATAGACAAAGTACCTCCAGATGATTTGGATGGTTGAGTTTTGAGTGCCAGAAGTCAGAAGAAAATCTTTGATTAGTTAATTTAGTTGGCTTGAAGTCTAGAAGTTAGTCTGTAATTAGTAATAATTTGGATTGATTAAACAGATGCACAATGTCTTTTTCCCTCTTCAAATAGCAGTTCATTTCAATCTTCAAATTCTGCATAGTCATATAAATGAAACAACTTAATATTTTTTGTGACACCTTCATTACCAGCTAATGGATTCACGCCATTATGATAGATAATAGTGAAAATTATATAAGTATAACGATAATATATTTACAATTTTGTAAGTGTAACTCCATTTTATGTTGATCTTTTCCTAACTAATGAAGTCAAAACTGCACAAATAGCTCCACCATTAATGCCTTGATATATTGTTAATATCATTTTAATCTCCTACCAATTCCTGGAGCTAGAGCTGAAAACCTTCCGATGATGCTGAGTCCAAAACCTAATAATATATGTATAGGTTATTGTAAAACTGTAGCTTGGGTTGGGTGGAGTGGAGTGGAGTGGACTTAGCCATTCCCATCCATTCAGGGTGGGCTAGCCCTATAAATAATGTTTTATAATAGTGATCCANTATATTTACAATTTTGTAAGTGTAACTCCATTTTATGTTGACCTTTTCCTAACTACTACAGTCAAAACTACACAAATAGCTCCACCATTAATGCCTTGATATATTGTTAATATCATTTTAATCTCCTACCAATTCCTGGAGCTAGAGCTGAAGATCTTCCGATGAGGCTGAGTCCAAAACCTAATAATACATGTATAGGTTATAGTAAAACTGTAGCTTGGGTTGGGTGGAATGGAGTGGAGTGGACTTAGCCATTCCCATCCATTGAGGGTGGGCTAGCCCTATAAATAATGTTTTATAATAGTGATACCCAGCCCATCTAATGCCCACCTTACCTTGCAACAGAATAGATTCTTTTAACATTAATTTTCGAAAGGAAAATACTAAACTTATTGATTCTTATACCGACTCCCCATTCCGATCGACGTAAAGTGCGACATGGGAAGTTTTCAATCCCATGTCGCACTTCACGTCAATCGGGATGAGCAATCGGTATACAGAAATGGTAAGTGTAATCTTTCCTTTTTCAAAATGTCATTTTTATCTGGTAGTAAATCGCTATGTTGCTTATCTTTGTTTAAGTTCAAATTAACCACTAATATTCACCACCCAACACTTAACTTTAGATATAATATTTCTTAAATAAGTGAAATTAGTAAGCTATATATTCAAGTTAAACATCATTACACTATATTACATCGTACAAACTATGTATACGAATTGATTTTGCCTAACTCTTTTACTGTCATTTCATCCATGTATCTATCTACTCATGCATTTTATAGATTCCACAAATAGAATTGGGACCAGAAGAGTGTTTTATAGCCACCAAGGCATGAATTTTTTTTTTTTTTTTTTTTTAATATTATACTCATATAACAACTAAAACGTTGAAAATGTAGAAAGCAAGTTTCAACTTTGAAGCAACTTGATGCCTTTTCAAAAGAGGGATAGTAGACCTTGGCTCAAAGGATGGAGCCTCTAGGGCTTAGCTTCACTAACTAATACTACCTTTACAATAATTGAAGTTGGAGTATGACAGAAACCAAACTAAAAGGGAGAGTTGCATTCACATTCATCTCAAGTTAAGTAATTGACTGAAAGATTTTGATTCTTATATTGGAAGAACCAAAAGTTACCCATTCGTGGGTACCCTAGATGATTAGAGCTAATTAGATATAGTATGGATAGGTACACGATCTTATATTCAATTTTTCATATGAACATCCACGATTGATTTAAGTGGAGGGTTATGACAGTGGGATGTTACACTAGTCTCCCTCGAGAATGAGTCGAGATGCGTATAAACTGGTCCGGACGACACCTTAGTTACAAAAAAAGAAAAAATGTTTAAATTTAAATTTAAAAAAATGGGCCAATTGTTTTTAGACCTAACCAACCAATGTTAATGCAGCACATTAATTTCCTGAAAGAGAGAGTACTATATAATATATATTTATATATAACATTATGTGGCCGACAAATAACATATAAAATCTAAAATTGACTTGAGTAGTGTAATTCTGTGAATGCATTAGAAGGAGGACTGTGATGGCTCTAAAGAGAGAGTAAGTAAGTGATCAAAAGTGGCAGAATACTTTCAAAAGTCATTCAACAACTCTTAGAAATTATTGGAGTTTAAGACAATCGTTAATTTGAGACTTGGAAGACTCATTCTTATATTATAATTTAGATAGAAAACGACCCCTTTTGTTTTGTTCATCTAAATAGTGATCTTGGAAGGAATATCATATCATACAGTCAAAGAATTGGCCCCAGTTTTATTTCAGTGTGTTTAGAGCCAGGTCGAAATCAACTTATAAATTGACTCATCAGTTTCTAACCTATATGGATAATGTATGTATTTGATAGCTGTTGATTCGTCTTCTTCACATCAATCCAACTAAGTGAATTGACTAACACCCAATAGTTGCATCACGCATGAACTACTACAGCATGTCACCATATTCTTGTATATTTTTTTCGCTTTCCCCTCCAAGGAAAATAACTTTGGAAAGTACCAGTCAACTTTGATTCCTAAACCTATTACTTCTACGACAAGAAATCTAGTTATCTTTTCAACCAGGCTGTAAAATAAGACCCTGCAACACAAACCATTAAAGAATAGCAGCCGGGAATAAATAAAAAAGTTGGTAATGAATACACCTTCTCAGTGACGTAAATTTTGTTGGATGATGATGATCAAATCTCTGCGACGCTCGCTGGTGTTGTTTTTCAGAATAAATTTGTCCACATCGTGAGCATAAGGAGATGAGCATGTTTCCCTAATGGTGTTTATGCATGATTTCAGTGGAGATTCCATGTACGTTTGGTGGCTTCCAAATGATGCAACAAGTTGAACAAGTTAAAAGCCGAAAAGGAGTTTGTTCTGAAGCCTGCTGGTTTTTGTGTCATCTTTGTGTGGTAACAGTAAAACTCTTATTGAAGTTTGAGAAATCATCGACCACCATAATCATATTAATAATATTTTATATATCATTGATCAAGATCAAAGCCAAACTCAAACATGCACACATTTGTCAATAGTGGACTTAAACCTAACCAATCTTTATCCAGCAAAGTATTTGGTGAACAAGTGTTGGATGTGTAGGCTGAGCCAACAACTTAAACTTTTAAACAAAACATATATTATAAAAATAGCATAAGATTTGACTAGGAGAAATCTCATGAATTCATTTAAAGTCATTAGAATTATTGCTGAAAGAACTTTCTCAAGTAAGATAGTGTTGCAAGTTTGGGACAAGAGCATGAATAAGAGAGTTGTTGTGGGGATGGTTTTTTTGTTGTTGTTACTCTGAAAATGACACAGTTTTAGGTCTAAGAAAATGATATTCAAAGGTTGAAACTATATTAATTGGTGTTGGTGTCTCGATGAATTGGGACCATATATATATATGTTGCATGCTTTTATCACTCGATCAATTATGGCTAGCTAGCTGATTGACCATGTATTTATTCTGTTTCTCAGTCAATGCAACCACGATTGAACCAAGACAATAGCAATCCATCACATAGAAAACCCTAGAAGATTGAATGGAAAAACTCGGAAATACCAAAACGAATACGTAATTTATATGTGTAACATTATTCTTTAAACGATAATTTACGTATATGTTGTGGATGCTTGATTAAAACTTTATATATAGGGGCGGATCTAGAGTATATTGGCCCACCCTCAAATTTTAAAAAAAAAAATATTTATATGTAATTTTTTTTCTTTTTATGACAATTTCAACTAAAAACATATAATATGAATATTATATGCAATTACATTTTATTTTGGCCCACCCTAACAAGAATTTCTAGATCCGCTATATACAGTAAAACATCTTTATAGTGATACTCTATATAAGAATAAACTCTACATAGTCATAAAAAATTATATTCCTAATTTGAGATAGTTATAAATAGGAATAAACTTCACATTGTAATAAGTTATATTATAATTTTTCTAATTCTCATCTTAAGAAAAGTTGTCTCCACATAGTAATAATTATCTGTATATTGCCAAAAAAAAAAAAAATGGTATGTTACATTAAATGTCTAAGATGGAATAAAATATTTATCTGAAATTGTTTGGAACAATAATTTATACTTTAGAGTTGTTACCACATCTTTTAACTTACGGATACATTACTCGCTAACATGAACATTTTCTTATTAAAACCAAAACATTTCTAACTTCTCAAGCATGTTTAGAGCTTCTTGACATGAAACTTTTTGTATTTCCATATTATCATCCTCATAATTATTTCATTTCTCTTCTTGTTTAATTATAGAAATGATTTCTTCTTTTGTTAAAACATATATGATTTATTACTCATTTGGATAATTAAGGAAAACATTAATATTCATTCGATTAGTATAGTGAAGTTGTCGAATCTGATCATTCAATTCTACAATGACTCTTTGATTCTCCTCATCAACTTCATCTGTAACTTGCAATTCATCGACATCGGAGGTCCTAATTTTGTAAAGCTTAAAACAATTGGCAATTGTCTGTAGCTTCACATCAGTTGTCATGCAACAACTGCATTTACAATCTCATCAAGGACAGTTATCTTTGTTGGTTTCAAAACACGATCTTCTATCCGTTTCAAAAGTAGGCAATTGAAGCGTTGAATTAAAACTTTAATATTATTAAAACATGAATTGAAATCCTAATATTTTACTACTAAAACGTGAATTATGAAATAAATAAATAAAAAATTAACTACACCTCTATTAATTATAACCTCCTCATAATAATAAAATTAGTTAGTCACACTATTATGACTATAGAGATGTTTTATTATATATATATATACATTTTTTTTTTTTTTGTTTTTCATGGTGATAGAGGTGTGAGAGGGACTTGACATAAAAGTGCATTATGAAGAAAGATGAAGAGATGATAAAAACCAGAGGTTGAGGATGGATTAACTTTATATACAGAAACTGTTGGTGACAATATACTTGAAGAATTAATGATAAGAAAAGTTAAAACGTAGCACATGGTATGATGTTATACTTTTCAAATATATATCTATATCTATATATTATTTAGATACGGCTTCTTTTCATCTTTTGGTTGAACCAATAACCGATCGAATCATATACACTATTGCACAAGAAATTGTTCAGAACCACCCATTAATTATAAGTAAGTCAATATATATATAGTATCTTTTTATGTTATGATAAAAACTTGACAAATCATAAAGTAAAGCAATATGCATTCCATTTTGTAGCATTCGAAAGCCCTATTCTTTTTCTTTTATCTTTATTTTTACATCATCTCATCGTCGGTGCCTTTCTCTGGAAATTCTTTCTAAAACATCTAAAGAAAAAATCCTAAATTCTATGATAATGAGGTGGAGAAATGGTACTACAAGGTTTATTAGTTTAATTTTATGGACAATATTCTAAATTCTTATCTCTTATGATCATCTAGCAAAGCAAGACAGAATAAAGCAAAAGCATTAGGTTCATATATTTATACATGTATGAAGCACTACTTTGAGCACAAAAGCCTAGCATTGTGGAAAGGCATATTAGTGGACGGATGTTTCAATTAAGTGCCTAACATAATTATTGATTAAAATTAATAATTAATTATTATTATTATTATTATTATCATATAATAAGCTACCAAAAACATATCATAGGACATAACACAATCATAAGACAAATTAATTAAGGTAATCAGAATTAAAGTTTTTGGGTATGTAACTGTGATTGTTGATGGTGGACAGTTCATTAACAACCCAAATTATAGAATTGCAAAAAATACACACTTTTTCACATAAATTATTCACTAAAGTATTAATTACAAAACATAGTATAGAATTAATTAAATTTTAATTATGTCACTCACATAAAGTAGTCATCCTCATTTGCTTTCTTCAATAATGGGTTTCCCCCACTTCTCTTGCATGCAGCTAGCTACCTTTCTTCATCAATGGGTTTACACCTTAATTAAATATATATTAATCTTGACATAAATATGTTAAAGATCTTGCTAGCTTTCTTCATCAATGGGTTTACCTTAGTTAAATATATATTAATTATGATAAAGTGGGTTTTGGTAGAGGTTTCCCTTCTCTTGCATGCAGTTAGCTAACTGGGTGTAAAAGACTCTGACACCATGATAAAAGGGGTTTGGGTAAAGGTTTGCAGCTAGATAGCTAAATATAAATGAATCTGATAACATGATAAAACGGGTTAGGGTAGAATTAAGGCCCAAAAGATAGTTCAAAGAAGAAATGAGTAGAAACACAAAAAAATACAAAAAAAAAAAAAAAAAAAAAAAAAAAAAAAAACAAAAAAAATATATAAAAAAATATGACAATATTATGTTTGGCGACAAAAAATCTATAATAAATCAGATTGAAATTAAATAGAATTGAAATGTTCAATGAACTAGATAACAGAGAATCGATAAATGGTAATCAATATAGTAATAAGAATCTTGGATTAGTGAATTGAATTGATGTTGGTGTTGGCGGTGGTCAGCAATGACACTTGACTTGAGAAGAAGATTTTGGTCCTAAAATTTGTGGGGTTTAGCCTCATGGATTTTGTTTGACATATAAAGTTTGATGGAAAAGAGGACAAAATATGAATAAGATAAGAAAAACTTTAATTTAATTTTAACCTATGGTCATATTGGAATTGGAGGTGGCCTTAGAGACAAAGAGACAGTGATTAGAGTGGAATAATAAAAGGATAGGGGACATGATATTAATAATTTTAATCCATAATCACATAAAAAAACAATTCTTGATTATCCTTAATCTAATTTTTGTAAAATTGGTGCCCTACCAACCCCTATAACCCACATTGTTTGGTCTTAAACGTGCCTTCATCTTATTGGTCCATCTCTTTGATCTCAATCTAGCCAATCGAATGCTCATGATTTTGCTGACATGGCATAATACCCACGTGTCATTTATTTTTTTATGATCATGGAAAGTGGGTTTTATGATGGGTGCCCACTATAGCCGCCCTTTCAACCCCTTTGATGACAAATGTATGAAAAGATTAATTCCAAGAAAATTTGACTAATTAAAGAGGTTTTTGTTTTGTTATCTGATTATATAGCATCCAACGGACAGGATGGACCCACGATGGAGGATTCCACCATATGGGATTATGGGAGTGCCTACATAATAATTATAATTAATTATAATTATAATTAGTGGTCGGTCTTCTTCTAGAAAGCAAGATTAGGTTTTAACCCACAAAAGCAAAGGACTATGTTACCATTAGTTTTTAGTTCACACTTTAGCATCATAATTAAGTGCAAAATCTAATCCAAATTATAAGAATCTTAATCTTATATTAAATAATAAATAAATTCCCATAAAGGGTTACATTTGTTTGAGACATAGATCATAATCACACCTTATCTTTTTAATAATAACTTATATTAATTAATAAATTAAACTATGGTATATTGTAATGTCGTTTTCAATCTGTATGCAAGAACTAATAGTTGATGATATGCGAAGGCCCTTATGAAACTGAAAGCACATTTTAGAAATCTACTAGAGATTTCCCATGAAAATAACATATGCAAAGGCTTTTGGGGACACACAATCTAAACTAAGCTTTGTATAATCAATGTTGAATCAGCAGTATACCTACTATTTGTTGTTGCTGACTTTTATCTATCATCCATTTATAAGCCTCAACCAACTCAAAACCTGAGATATGGGGAATCTTCGGAGGGAATGAGTGATCAACTTCTAGCAATAGCATCACTGAAATGGAAAGAAAAGAAAAGGTAAAAAGTAAACAGAAGAAAGGCAAAGTAAAGAGTAAGAGGGGTGAGTGAATTGAATAAATTACACTTATCTTGAGGGAAAGTGAGTGATGAGATGCTTCCCTTTGGAGATGCAAATCCTCCCCACTAGTGTCCATTAACAAGTTAGGAAAAGTGAAGGAGTAATTATTGCACTACAGAAATTTTAATTGAAGTTGAAACATATAAACAATATAATCATAATGATTCAGCCCTTGTCCAGTAGCTGGGAATTGAGGCTTCAGAACAATAACAGTAGGATTGAAAAAAGAGCAGTCTTTCAGTGCTTCCTCCAAGCTGTCATCCCGATCTTCTATCTTCAACTTCCTTGGCTATTGAGACTGGCCCAGAGAGGTCCCAACACAACCAATCATAACCATTCACTCCCCACAAACAACACATGCATATCAACTTCACGGGCTCCATGGACCCTTAAAATACCCCACGCAGCTATCATTCTCTCTCAAATGAATCAATGGCAGGCCCGCTAGTCACTCTCATCCGATCTGAAAGTAGATACGCAATGTTTGTATTCTGACAACAATGGATACAAGCATAACACACTGCACCATGAATATCCGTAAAACTTAGGTATGGGCATACCTGTCATCAGAGGCAAAGATATACGAATTCTGGAAAAGCCATTGCTTTTACTATAAATGGGAAAAGTATCCTTAACAAGTTTGCTGAGCAAACTTTAAGACATTTTGTCTTTTGGTGGAAAAGGCAAGATTGTGGTTGCAACTGTTGGAAAAAGTGCAAAGATTTGTGAAATCTTTCTTTCTTGTGACTTTCTATTCAACTTGGCATATGTGTGATGCTTCGGTTATAAACAAAAAAGCCCAAAAAGGAGAACTAAAAGAAAATCCTAAAACTCTTCCACTAAGTAGACAGTCTTCATACGGATTCTCACAACTGAAGGTTGACCAGCCACCCAAATTTTTCCCTTTAAATTCCCTCCTGAACTCTTCATTTCCTTGGCTCTTGTAAACCTCTCCTTCTGCTTTTTCTCTCGAAGAAACAAGAAGTACAGGACTAAAACATCTTTAGTCTTTAGCTTCACCCATCTCTTCCAACTAGTAAATGAGATATCCAGCTATTAGCTCCTTCAGAGAAAACATGTTTTTCATAAGAATCTTCATGATCTTTCTCCTGAGCTGCTTAACTGTTAAAATAAACCTTTGTTTTTCCAGCATACCTTATTCTTTAAAATCACTCACCCTTGATGGGCATTTCAATTTTGATGAAGTTCACCATGCTGCTAGGGATTTTGGCAATAGGTATCACTTCCTCCCTTTGGCGGTACTACATCCTAAGTCTGTTTCTGATATTGGCACAACAATAAAGCATATTTGGGACATGGGCTGTCATTCAGAGCTCACAGTTGCAGCCAGAGGCCATGGCCACTCACTCCAGGGCCAGGCACAAGTCCACCGAGGGGTTGTCATCAACATGGAATCCCTCCAAGGCCCAAAAATGCAGGTTTACACTGGAAACTTTCCATACGTGGATGTCTCTGGAGGTGAATTGTGGATAAATATCCTGCATGAAAGTCTGAAATACGGGTTAGCGCCAAAATCTTGGACAGACTACCTGCATTTAACTGTTGGTGGTACTTTGTCCAATGCTGGGATCAGCGGGCAGGCTTTTCGACATGGCCCCCAGATAAGTAATGTCCATCAGCTGGAAGTTGTTACAGGTTTGTCAAAGAATCATTAAGAAAAACAAAAATCATTATGTTGTGAAAGTTGCATCGCTCAAATCAAGACTAAGGTCAAGTGACAAACAATCAATGAGCAAGAAATTAGCAAATTATTACTAATGATAGTTTTCTATTTGTCGTGTCTGATATATTTACTTACTCATAACTGAAAGGCTAGGTTGCCAACTTCACTCATTATGCATGTTGTGACTTGACCTTGGTTTCCTGAACATTTTCATTCAAATTTAATTTCCAACAAAAAAAATAAATCAGGTACTAACTGCAATTCTTACTAAAAATTGGACTCAAACTGAGTGCAGGAAAAGGGGAGATCGTGAACTGTACAAAGAAGCAGAATAGCGACCTCTTTCACAGTGTCCTTGGAGGACTAGGTCAGTTTGGCATCATCACACGGGCCAGAATATCACTGGAACCAGCACCTGATATGGTAAAAGCAATTAGTATTATGGTTAAAGACAAAGCTCAAACTGAGATGTCTGTCCAGTAGAAAATGCCAGTTCTTCTAACCCAATTTTCCATTTTGAACAGGTGAAATGGATTAGAGTACTTTACTCTGATTTCAATACATTTGCCAGGGACCAGGAGCGTTTGATATCAGCAGAAAACACATTTGATTATATTGAAGGGTTTGCGATCGTAAACAGGACTGGTCTCCTAAATAATTGGAGATCTTCCTTCAACCCACAAGACCCAGTACAAGCCAGCCAGTTCGAGTCAGGTGGAAAAACTCTCTTCTGCCTAGAATTAGCCAAATACATCCACTCAGATGAAACAGATTTAGTAAATCAGGTGAGGTGTGATGACCCACCATCAGTGAATGTTTAATTAACAAATAAATTAATTAATAATAAACAATATGCTAATAATAGAATTATTAAAATAAGGCACTCATGTACATATTTGTTTGATCCTTGCAGGAAGTTGAGAATTCATTGTCTCTACTAAACTACATTCCGTCAACTCTTTTCATATCAGAAGTTTCGTATGTACAATTCTTAGACAGGGTTCATGTATCAGAGATCAAATTGCGGTCAAAAGGCTTGTGGGAAGTTCCACACCCATGGCTCAATCTTCTTATTCCCAAGAGCAAAATACATGATTTTGCTGAAGGAGTCTTTGGAAATATCATTACAGAGACAAGCAATGGCCCAATCCTCATCTACCCACTCAACAAATCAAAGTAAGAGCTTTTAAAAATAAGTTATTTATCTCACTAAATTCTCGTAAAGTTGTTAACTGATGAATTTATCATTTTGATTTCAGGTGGGACAACAGAACTTCTGTTGTTATTCCAGGGGAAGATATTTTCTACCTAGTAGCATTTCTTTCCTCTGCTGTCCCCTCCTCCAAGGGAAAAGATGGCTTGGAACACATCTTAACTCAGAACAAAAGAATTCTAGACTATTGTGAAACAGCAAATCTTGGAGTGAAGCAATATCTGCCCCACTACACTACACAGGAAGAGTGGAAAACGCACTTTGGCCCACAATGGGAAGTTTTTGCACAGAGAAAATCTACTTATGACCCTTTGGCAATACTTGCACCTAGCCAGAGAATATTCAAAAAGGCAATACCTTTCTCATGACATCAACCCTAATTTATTATTTAAAAGAAAAAGGGCCTCACTGCATGCAGGAAAGATGCCTTAACTACAAATTCTGTAAACCTGTAACTAGGAAATTTCCATGCTTTCTCATATATTGTAAGTCTATTGAGGAAGCAGCAGTAACTAGTTGATTTTTTTTTTTTTTTAATTAAAGAAAATAGGCCAAATATTTTGGATATATTATTAATTAGATTTGTAGAAGGCAATGAAAAACAGCAGCCCTAAAAGGAATGTATATTATCGATCTTGTGCACAAGACTATTTTTTCTCTTATAAATCCCATTCCAGAACTAGACATGAAATACTTTCCTGCACTAGTAAATAACAAATTACAAACAGATTAAAAATTCTTGATTACCTTCCTTTAAATTAACAAGCTCCAAAGCAAAGGAATCATAGGGAAGAAGCAATTTGGGACATATAAACAATGTCCATAAGTATACATTATATTTACCATGGATAAGGAGGAAATTAACCACTTTGTCACAGCATCCAACATATTTCCAATAACGTCGTGCCTCATTAAAAATGAAACTGTGCTGCCATGATTAGAAGAACAGTATCAATGTGTTAGTACTTCGGCTCCACGTCTGTGCTAAACAAAGGCATTATAATGCACAACATGTAGAAAAAATATTAGTCAAAACGCTAGCAATTTCAATGGTTGTAGAGGTTCGGGAACCCGCAACTCCACACTCCTACAGTGAGCATACACCAAGTTGTGAAGAATTTCACCCACTTTTGCTACCTTCTTTCCATGTCATGTTGTGCAACATTTTAGGAGTAATAATTCTGTCAATAGCTATAGTATATATTAAGCATTACAGACCCCAACAGTTTCCTATAATGTCTTTATTTTTATCAGGTAAATTAAATGGCAGAGTGCCAATTTAAAGCCACAAACCCAAAATGGGCACCAAGGGAAAAGTAAATTGATTACAAAATCTAGAGTATCTAGTTCTAATTATATCAGAAAATAAAAGCTTTTACCAGATTTAGCAATTTCAACACTATTAATCTGTTATCAACTCAACTCAAATGCCAGCCTAGAATAGGATAGAAAATTGATCTTAAAATGATAGTTATGCAGTTAATGGTTAATTTAAAAAACAATAAAACAGAATTGAGAAAAACTAGAATCGTAATAATTGAATTTAAAATGTTTGAACTTACTTAATGTCATTCATAGAACAAAATGGAACTGAACCATCTTATATTCCCCTAACAAATATTTTGCTAATCATATATTTTCCATGTTTCTCTTATCCTTGCTTGTTCAACAAACCATTATCAAAGTAATTAATTTTTCCCAATTTCATTCAACTTTATGGTCATCCTACGTCAGCGAAAAGGATAAGGACCTACAATAAAAAGCAAATTCCAGAAAAAGAGCATATTTCTGTTATTAGGAGATTCTGGCATCTTTATGTCAGAACCGTCAAAGCAATGGTGTTCAATAGTTCACACAATTTATTCTCTGTTTAATCACTGTACAACAGATTCAACTGACAAGTCGAGTAACAAAGATGACCACCTCCATTATTCCAGAATTCATTGGTTCAGGATACTTGCACTGTTTTGAAACCCTTTCAAAATATCAGTAACCTTCGGGAATAGTACAATTGGCAAATGATAAAGTGAAACTTCAGTCATTCTTCCAATGAGCACTGAGGACCTCAGCTGGAGAATATTTGCAAGAAAAGGGACCTACCATGAATATGGTAAGCATGTGAAGGATGTTAAAATACCATAACTCATCCTACTTGGCCAAGTTAGGTCACTATTTGGATAATAGCAACAGCAATGAAAATTTGAAACCAATATATATAGATATATTATATAGAAGTTCTCATAAGATAATAGTCCTCTCTCTGCATGAACATTGAAGATGTAACATATATTTTGCATGTAGATTCAGAATTTTCAAGTGAAAAAAATACCGAGCACACTTACCTTACATTGCATATAGCTATTTCCTTAAATAGAGTGTTTGCTCTGACTGCACTTTTCCGGTCACGATATCAAAACCTGCTGGATACTCAGACCCCATTCAAAAGATGTAGTCACCATCAAAAGCAGTTCAGCAAATTCATCAGTGCCAGATTGACTAGTATAGCATTGTTAACTATGTGAATGATCACTCTGAAAAGAATCTAAAAGTTAAAGCAAATCCAACTCTTTACAGCTTTTCTCAGAACCCAAGAATCATGGTCAAGGAGCAAAGCAGCCACATGAAGGGCATATCACACACAATCCAGCGGTCAATGGAAAATCAGCAGCTAGAGTGATCAGGGCACCAATTTAAAGTAATTCAACACTGTTTATGTTTGGTCCAAACTTGAAGGATTACCACAAGATACTTTAGCTTAATTTTCATTAAAAAAAATGTATCCAAGTTAACTCTAAATTTTCCAATTGTGAATCACTGACTAAAATATAGAAATAGAAGTAAAGATGTGATAGCATTTAAAGGGAAAAAAGGCAAACTAGTAAATGTGCAAATGATCCAAACCAAACTAACAGCGCTAATTGATGTTGTAATCAATACCAACTGCTTTCCCTGATTAAGAAGAAACTTTGAATTCTGGGTTCAGCCAGAGAAAAGTAACAGCAGGCTAACCAAAGCATGCAGCATTTCTTCCTCTGAGGCTAGATATTTATTATTATTTAACACAATGAATATCATGACCCAAAGAGTAATACAAAGATAGTTGATTTAAGATATTTAAAAACAAGTTTAAGCAACAGCAAGAAGTTTTACACAGATTCCATCTATTTGCAGCTATTTATAGAGTGAGCTATGATAACATACTTTACAGTAACACCTCTGATAATACTACATGAATCAGTACGCAGCTGCAAACACAGCTCGACAATCAAACAGACTAGCATAGAAGTAATTGATGGTTGACTCATATGAAATACCATCCACACAAGTAAATATGCAAGAATACAACTGAAAATCATAGTTCAACCCAATTGGGCAGAGAAATAATTAATCGTGATATTCTTCAAAAGAACAAAACTGCCATCTAAAGTTGTTGAATTTTTCATACTCTAATTCTCATGCTTGAAAGCTTTAAATCTCATAATTGCAGACCTATACGTTACAAAGGTGAGCAAACCTCTAGTCATAAATAATAATAATAATAATAATAATAATAATTAGCTTTGATTTGCATCAACACTAAAAACTGAAAGTGTTCAATTCAATATCAGAGTGACTCAATTTTCTCTGATTTGTTAGTCAACCTAAGAACAAACATGAAGTTACCTCTGTTTGATTCCTATTACTATATCTATAGAGGATAACTGTCAAAAGGAAATGAAGTTGTCTCAATCCTAATATAAATGAATTTATTCAAATATCTAGGGGAATGTAGCTCAAACATTAGTCTCATTACTGCTCAACTAGGGTTAAGATAAAAGAATTTAAAAAGAACTTGTTGACAACACAACCTGTATAGAAACATGTTATTGAGTTTATACAGCTTGAAGGAATTAAAGTCTTTGGGTGTTCAAGCATTAAAATCCTGAGTGTGAAGCTGCATCAAGCAAAATACAAAAACTTGCACACAGAACAAGAAAATAATCAATAACAGTTGTTCAGAAATACAATAGACCAAAACTCTTTTAACTATCATGATCAAATTCATTAACTGCCTACAGTCAACATACGACCTGGTGAAGCTGCCGGTTCGAATTCAATAAGTAAAAAAAAAAAAGAAAAAAAAGTTTATATAGCAAGTTATTGTTTTGATACCTGCACGCCCAAGCCAATTCAGGTCCCAACTGAAATTTTAATGGCACCAAATCCAATATGCCTACCACTTCCATTGGCCTAAAAGATGTTACATCTAACTCAGAACTTAAGCTAAACACTCTCTATTAGCATTTATGGTTTTCCTATACTGTTGCCATAAACTGAGATTCGACAAATCAACAAGCAAAATAATGATCAAACCTAAGACAAAAGAGTCCTTTCCCAAAATGCCCCAACAACACCAATCTGAGCTCTTAATTATAAGAGTAGTGTTTGTACACAAAGTAAGGATCCCAATTTGGGATCCTAACTCATATAGTTGTAAATGGAAATAAACACCACGTTAATTGTAAATGATGTGATAAGTGACATAACTTTCCTAAAACTAATATAGTAGGCCATTAATAGTTTATCAATTCGGATCCCTGCTTTGTATACATAGTATTATCATAATTCTAATCCACCATATACTATCAATAGGGTTTGCCAATGATTGTCCACCCCACTTCAATTACCACTACTATTGCAGGATATCTACATAACAAGCTAAGCAGAGCAGAAACATCTATCAACCCGTAGACAGAAACCCAGTTGCATTAGAATCAGTACAATGTAGCAAAACTCAATATACTTAAACTCAAAATGCCAAATACTAATTTCCCAAAGAAGAAAGATGTAATCTAACTTGAGTTAAGCCTTGAACAACAAGACAATGCACTAAAGCCAAACCAAGAACAAGCTAAACAAAATACAATAACCTATTTGCAAGAACAGGTGTATGATCTAGTTTACCTCATATTTCATGTGGGTTTTAACTGTTAAGTCTTTGAGACATTGCCCATCAAAACTGAGAGTCTAAAACCAAATGAAAACAAAGCATTACCAGTGAAATTTTCCATCAAATTCTTGAATCCTGTCCGGCGAAACACCAATCCACCGAGGCTCCCTCCACTTTCAAGCTTCACTGTGAAATAGGGTTAATAGTTTAAAAACATAATTTTTTTTAAGTAATTAAGGGTGAAAATGGTTAGTTATTTCTTTTCGTTAATATAATGTTTTTATATTTCTTGTTTTTGTTAAACTAAAGCCGTTTTTATAGTTATACATTAATGGAATATAAAGAAATATAATTACGTTTAATTTATTATTAACTCAATTAAATAAATGCTTTAAATTACTAATTATTGTAAATTTATCTATTCCTACTAAAATTAGGGAACAAAATATTACTAATTGTATTGTGTTCATAATACTTTTACCAAAACATCATCATCTTTGACAACTTTTACAGTTATCCAACTTCTTGTCGAAATGATTATATTTTGATTAGGCGTGAGCAAGAAATCCGGGTAGAATCGAAACTGACATGAAAAGGGTCGGTTTTGGTTCCAAATTTGGTGAAACGGGCACTATGCGATTCCAATTTCGATTCCACCACTTCAGGAACTAGAATCGAATTCAGGAACCAGAACCGATATCAAGGTCCAAGTATTCGGGGTAGAACCCATGGGTATCTAGGGTGCATTTATAATTTTTTAAACTGTTGGGATGTATTTAATTTTCACATGGTATATTTGTCATTTTTCTAAATAATAGGGGGTATTCGTACTTTTTCCGGATACCTAGAATCAGAACGGAACTGTATACAAGTTAAATAACTTATTCAAGAAACATTTTTACTTTTTCTTTTTTTAACACCTCTTATTTACACATATTAGATTTATATGTTTGAAATGAAGTTTAGAGATATATAATATAATTTCTTTTAATTTTTTTAACTTTAAAATTTTGATTTATTTATTAAAATATTTCAAGGGGTCGATGGTTTGACAACATGCCCAATGGGGCTGGCTAACCAGCAGCCAACGCCCAAGCTAGCAGGCCCATGGGCAAGGATAATTACTATTACGGGAGAACGACTTACACATACCCAAGGTTTGTCGTAATGATAGTTGGTACCCAAAAGGTTTGAAAAAGACATACAAATACTTTTCATCTTGTGCTGTTATAGATTTCCGTTTTATAATAGTAAAAAGACTGGAATGCCCTTTGAAGTTTGATATTTTAGTTTTTTATTAATTTATGACTAGTCAACTTATTCAACTACATAAATACCCACATCATTATGGTGAATTACAATTATGCCCTCAAGTTATTATGAGTTAGTGAAATGACCATTTGGCCCTATGAGTTTGTAAAAAATGAGACACAACAAATGACCAATTTATCCCTATTTTGGTAGCAGCAGTATAAATATACTCATTTGTGGCTGAAAATTGAAAATTTTCATAATTTAAAAGAAAGCATTCGTAATTAACATGAGTTCAGTACATGATATTCAGTATCAATTAAGTCTTTGTGGTTTAAACAGAAACCATGAATTCACTACATGAAAATGTGTATAGGGAAGATATACAACTGAAACTTCAAACTTCAAATCAGGTTTCAAAAACAGAGTAGTTTCCATATACACACCTATAGCTGCAAAAACAGACACAAAATTGTCCTCTTCTACATCCTGCAAATCCACAAATGCACACCCATAGCTGCAAAAACAAGCACAAAATTGTCCTCCCTATAAATCCACAAAATTAATTGATGTTGAGTTAGAACCTATTTGAAAGAAACGAAAACTACAAAAAACTTTCAGATGTGATACCCTTCTAATACTTAACCCCAAACAATGAAACAGTAGTAACCCTTTTAGACAAGAACCCACACAATAATAGCAATCAGCAACCAATAAACCAAAGGAATCAGCCAAGAAACCCATAAAAAGATAGCAACCAGCAACCAATAAACCAGATAACTAGCAAGCCAATATAAGGATAATAAACAACAAAATGCAACCCAACGACACAGATAAAGAGTAGCAAAGCAAAACTAAGACAAAAAGAGATAAAAACAAAAACAATGCTAGACTTCGAATATCCTCCCCTATTTTCCACTCTTCACTTTTTTGAATATCCTCCCCAATTATCCCTGACTCCTTTTTATCCCATTCAGAATCTCTCCATAATAGAATTCCCACATGTCCCACATAATTCTTCCTCAACATTCACACGCCTAAGAACACTTTTGCCCAACTGCAAATAATCCTCTACCACCCATTCCAATAAATTAGGTGTTTCATCAGATTCTCATAATTCAACTGCTAATAATCTTGCACATGAACATATCAAATTATAGGTAAGTAATAATACACACCTATTCTTCTTAGTTGCTATGTTGGAGGTCCATGTGGCAAAAAAGCATTTAGTTGACAAAGCAACATGTTGGAAACACTGAACAAAAAAAAAAAAAAAAAAAAAAAAAAAAAAAAAAAAAAAAAAAAAAAAAAAAAAAAAAAAAAAAAAAAAAGGGTTAGAATAGGATAATCAAAGTACAAAAACAACCTACTGCTATAGCAAACAAAAGAACTTCCCCATTGCATTATTGACTTGGTTGACCTATTAAGAGAAATAAGAATAATGTTAACGAAGGTAAAAAGTAATTAAAATAAATATTATATGGTTTAAAATAGTTTTAAGCACCCTTTGAAACTTGAAGAAGCTTGGGACAAGTTTGTTGTAAATCGAGCTGCTGAAGAGGGTACAGTCATTGTGGGCACAAAGGTTCGCCGCAAATGAAAAAATAGAAATCAGTATTAGAAGAAAAAATATGATGAAATTGACATTTTTTTTCCTATTACCTTTTGCTTCTTCCTGTTATCTGCATTTGCTGGATTTTTTTTGCAAGACCTTTTATTATGTCAGAGGACACTGCAGACATTACACCTAAGTGTAGAGACCCTTTTAGATTTTGGCTCTTCATTTGGATCTCTCCTTCTTATTTTCGGAGGTCTGCCAAACTTGGGTTGCCTGTATGGTGGCTAGATATATTCATCACTGACCTTTGGCTAGCTGGTCTTGTCGGGGACAAAGTGGACCATGTATGCATAAGTTTGCAGGTACATCGGAATTCTAAGCTTCTGATCAACATAATGTTCAAAGTTGGAAATGTTCTTGTGTAACAAACAGGCAATAGCATGAACACAAGGAATTTCTAATAGTTACCACATCCTACAATCACACAATTGCTTACCTAAAACCAGAACATGAGTTTTACATGGGTTTACATTATCGTCATCGACTTCAAACTCCTCAGATCCAAGGTACCAAACTTTGACATTTCTAGTTGCCTCAATCATCTTGTTTATCTTTATGTGAATCACTGGTGGAAGAGGTATAATCCACTCTATACCGGCTTTGAATATACATTGTAACCGCTTCATTACCCTACGTCGGTAAAGTTCTAGTAGACTTAGTATAGGAAGTTCCATATTTTCACCAAGCCATGAGTTGAAGCACTCACTCATGTTGTTAGTTATGTGGTCTGACTTTGCTGTTGTGTCAAACGCATGTCTAGACCATTGGTCTAGTTCATTTTCAAGCAACCATTTGTATGCACCCTCATCTACATCTTTAACACAACCCATGACCTTAACAAAATCTAGTCTGTTTGCAGTCTTACTCACTGCCCAAAACAATTTCCTCATGTGAACCTCGAAAATTTATTTTCTGAAGTTTGCGTACACATGTCAAGCACAAAATCGATTCCTTGCATTTGGCTACTCTACTTGTAGTGCATTTAGAATACCCTTCTACCTATCACTCATGAATGTAACGTGCTCTAAATCACCCAAAAAATCATGCAATAGTCCAAGGAAGAAGCCCCACGAGTCATTATACTCTGCCTCAAACACATATTGCCAAAGGGAATATCTACTATTTGCATCCACAGAGACTGCTGATAGAAGTACCCCATCATAGTGACATTTCAAATGACACCCATCAATTCCTATGAAATGCCTACACCTAGACCTGGCAAACGGGTGGGTTGGGCGGGTATGGTCCGAGTAGCAACGGGTCACGGGTTAACGGGTGAAAAAATCTCGCGGGTCGACATTTTCATGATCCGTACCCGCCCGTGCGGGCGCGGGTCACCCGTGAAAATGGAAGCAGCTTTTTACATTTTTCATATTTTTTACAAAGCACACCCATAGCTTTTCACATGGTATATTTGTCATTTTTCTAAATAATAGGGGGTATTAGTACTTTTTCCGGATACCTGAAATCGGAACGGAACTGTATACAAGTTAAATAACTTATTCAAGAAACATTTTTACTTTTTATTTTTTTAACACCTCTTATTTACACATATTAGATTTATATGTTTGAAATGAAGTTTAGAGATATATAATATAATTTCTTTTAATTTTTTTAACTTTAAAATTTTGATTTATTTATTAAAATATTTCAAGGGGTCGATGGTTTGATAGCATGCCCAATGGGGCTGGCTAACCAGCAGCCAGCGCCCAAGCTAGCAGGCCCATGGGCAAGGATAATTACTATTACGGGGGAACGACTTACACATATCCAAGGTTTGCCGTAATGATAGTTGGTGCCCAAAAGGTTTGAAAAAGACATACAGATACTTTCCGTCTTGTGCTGTTATAGATTTCCGTTTTATAATAGTGAAAATACTAGAATGCCCTTTGAAGTTTGATATTTTAGTTTTTTATTAATTTATGACTAGTCAACTTATTCAATTACATAAATACCCACATCATTATGGTGAATTACGATTATGCCCTCAAGTTATTATGAGTTAGTGAAATGACCATTTTGTCCCTATGAGTTTGTAAAAAATGAGACACAACGAATGACCAATTTATCCCTGTTTTGGTAGCAGTAGTATAAATATACTCATTTGTGGTTGAAAATTGAAATTTTTCATAATTTGAAAGAAAGCATTCGTAATTAACATGAGTTCAGTATATGATATTCAGTATCAATTAAGTCTTCGTGGTTTAAAGAGAAACCATGAATTCACTACATGAAAATGTGTATAGGGAAGATATACAACTGAAACTTCAAACTTCAAATCAGGTTTGAAAAATAGAGTAGTTTCCATATGCACACCCATAGCTGCAAAAACAGACACAAAATTGTCCTCTTCTCCA